TGTTGCAAGGACAGCTACTGTTTATTGAGCAATTATTATATGCCCGTCACTGTACCAGAAACTTTTGGTTTTTCTTTCCTTTCCCTCTGAGAAGGCTGCAATGCATGACTTCATAGCCATTTTGACAAAGGCCACAGGAGGCAGGGTTACCAGAGAGTGGAGCTTATTTTTAACTTCCTAGTATGGATAGGTTTTGTTTTTGTTTCTGGGTTTGTCTTGTCTTCTCCGAGTGAGGAGGGACTGGGTAGGGACCGCTCTGGGGTAGGATATGTTAAATCCTCTCCTCTCCAAGGCCCAAAGGCAGAAGTGTCACTGAAGTGGGGCTGCCACTTCTTCCCAGTGTCCCGATTTCTGGCAGGAGTGTCAAAGAAGTTGGTTTCTCAGGGACTTGACACTGGGGGGTCTGCACATCCTTAAAATGGGTATCCCAAGATAGAAGTGTGCCCCAGTGGCAGAATTCAAGGCAAGCATGTGCCCTGGGTTCCATCCCATGTAGGGGGAGGGGAGGACTTCTACGCTGCATCAAGGTATAAGATATGCTCATGTGCAACCACAGTCGGGGCATCAGGCAGACAAGCTCAGAGCTGGCCCCTGCATCAGGGTCGGTACTGTCACCCTTTGGGAGCCCTGAAGGCAGGGTGTCTACAGTGGGACTCAGTGCAGCTCGGAGGCACTTGCCTAGCCCGCTGAGGCCCTGAGTTCCACCCCCAGCACTCAGCCCCCTTTCCCAAAAGGGATGATCAGTTACATTATAAATATAGCCATCACAATTAAAATAGAAGCGGCCCTTGTTCCGCTGCGGAGTGTCCTATCAGAATGAGTAACTGAACAATTTCTCATTGGCTTCCAATTTTCAGCTATCCTCCTGCCTCGGGCTCCCGAGTCTGGGATCACAAGACATGCATCAACACTCCTGGATCAAATGGACTCTTTTTATTCTTTTTTCCCCTTAATTCAAAGAGGACAGTTTTATTAGAGTTTAGAGAAAATCCCCAGGGCAGGCAAGCTGTAAATCAGAGCAACTGCTCAGAGGACAGGAATGGAAAAGTGCAGGGGGAAAGCCAGGCTGCTTGAGGTAAGTTGGAATGGGAGTCAAACACAGACAAGCAGCCCCACGCCAGGGAGGGGGGCTTTACAGAAAGAGTGGCGAAGCATGGGGTCGAGCCAGCATCCAAAGGATGTGGGGTCTAGAGGCAGAAAAAGAGGCCTGTACCTCATGGGGGCTTGTCAGGCCTGGGTCTCGTATTTTTTTAAGAATGGGTTGTCAGGGGCTGGAGAGATGACTCAGCGGTTTAAAGCACTGGCTGCTCTTCCAGAGGTCCTGGGTTCAATTCCCAGCACCTGTCTGTAACTTCAGTTTCAGAGCTTCTGGCATCCTTACACAGACATGTGTGCAGGTAGAACACCAATGAACATAACAATTTTTTTTAAAAATTAAAGAATAGTTTGCCAGCCGGGCGTTGGTGGCACGCCCTTTAATCCCAGCACTTGGGAGGCAGAGGCAGGCGGATCTCTGTGAGTTTGAGGCCAGCCTGGTCTACAGAACAAGTTCCAGGACAGCCTCCAATACAGAGAAACCCTGTCTTGAAAAGCAAAAAACAAAACAAAACAAAAAAAGAATAGTTTGCCATGCCCACCATAGCTATGCCATACCTGTGATCTCAGCTACTGGGAGGGGATGGCTAAGGCATGAGAGTTTCAGACCAGTCCATACAACACAGCAGGACTCCAGATCTTTTGTTTCCACCCACCCTGCAAGACAGGGTTTCTCTGTGTAACATTCCTGGCAGCCCTGGAACTCTGTAAACCAGGCTGGCCTTGAATTCCCAGAGATCCTCCTGGCTCTGTCTCCAGGGTACATGTTCCACTATGGGCAGCTTATAGACACGTGTGTGTGCACACACACACACACACACACACACACACACACCACTCCACTATACTGTGGTCACCTCTGCATGGTGGGAAAAGGGTGACTTTCCCCCTTCTTTTAGTGTTTTCTGTGTCCAAAACATGACTTTTATAGTCAGGGTAAATACAATAAATGCCATTTTCTCACTGACAAGGCCTCTAGGGAGCAGGAGCTGAGGCTTACGCTTAGCATGGCTGAGGTGGCACTTTGTAAAGGACACAGAGTCCACAGACACAGGAGGCATGCCCTGCTCACAGTGTCCTCCCTAGAACACCTAGCCCTGCAGAGGACAAGCACCCAGAAGTGGGCATCCCAGAGGGCAGCACCCTGGAAGGAGGACTTACCTCTTCAATCGAGGGGTGCAGCTGCTCCAAGGACTCCTTTGATGAGGAAATTCTATGTGCGATGTTTGGCACGAATTTTGTTACACTGGCTGAGCCCATTAAACACCCCTGGGCTCACCAAGACTCCATGTCACCTGTTCTGCCAACCCCCATCCTTCAGTGGACTGCAGTTCTCTTGGCTTGACATGACTACTCCATTTTATAGTGGGGAGTCTGAGACTCAAGAGATGTTTAGTGATTTCCTTCCCTTCAAGGTCACACACATCAGGCACAGGCTGGGGCTAGACTGAGAGCTTTGTAGTTTGTTGTTTGTTGTATAGGATTCCCTGGGCTACATCCCAGCCCTGGAGCTAGAATGAACCTGGACCTGCCTGACACCTCAGCTCTGTTCTCTCCACCACAAAGCTGAAAAGACATCATCTCACCCTTCTGAGATGAAAACCAAAGGCTAGGGTCCCCAAGAGATGAGTGGGGTGGGCCACACCCAGAACTTGGTGTGTATCATAAGCTCCCTTCAAATCCTCCTGACTACCAGGTGGAGGGTGGAAGGGAGCCCATGAGCTTTTTCAGACAGAGCAAGTCAGGAGGGCCACAGAGTAGTGGAGAAGGTCAGCCTGAGGGCCAAAGTGTCCCACAGCATGGTCTGCATCTAGGATTAGCTCTGAGGAGGAGCAGGCCTGCCTTCATCTGCTCTCAGCCTAGGAGGCTGTCAGGCCCCAAGAGGCCAGCCACTAGCACAAGACTCTTTATCTAGAAACAGAATTCACATTCCAGTCTTGGCTTCCACTATCCTTGGCTGCTCATTAACCAGCAGCAGGAAGGCCTTGGGAAGGGGAAGGAAGGGGAAGGGGAGTCCCTGGAGGGGACTTCTTGCCTATAGGGAAGACAGTAGGGACAGCAGTGACACCAAGTGGGCACCAGAGTTGGACAAGTGGGTTCATAGTTGTGGGAACTTGGGAGGTGCCCCTTTACCCCTGAGTCTCAGCTTCCCAATCTGCACAAAGGAGATATGAGTACCTAGGAGACATTACTACTGAAAGTCTATACCCAACTTGCTGAGGGGTGTGGCCACGCCTGGCACTCAGTAAGCATTCCACCTGTTCATCTGCCATTTTTACAGGAAGAACAAGAACTCCTACGTCCTATGGCTCTTGGGGTTGTAACAAGGTAATGTGTTACAACTCCAGGCAAGTCCAGTACCCACAGGCCATAAGAGTCCCTGACACCTGATCACAACAGAGCAGGTTATCCGCCCATCAACAGTTGCTCAGGGAGGTCTTCTGAGCCTCTGCGGACAGGCACATCTGACATCAGAGGATGCCTGGTCTCCAGTTGACTGTGATTGACACAGGAGCACATTTGGCTAGGGAGAGTTAACAAAGTGCAGTTGGATCCTGCCACAAGTGGCAGTTACCAGGGGACTTATGAGAGCTCCACAGATGACCCAAAGTTGGCCAGGCCCCAGTCCTGTGCCAGAGAGAGAGACCTGTCTTGGAAACTGAGAGTGTGGCTCAGGATAGAGCATGGTTTACATCACAGGGCTCCATCCCCAGAGCCTCGAGAAAGAAAAGAGGCAGAAAGAGAAAGGGAGTGAGGGTGGGAGGGGAGAAGATTAGATATTAAGAAATCTCTACCCAGGAAGGTGGAGTTCTCCAATTTGAGAGCAGGGTCCACAGGTGGGTCCTAAGATCAACAACGTGTCAGGAAAGAGGCGTGGCTGGCAGATGGCAGAGCATGGACTTAGAACATTGCCGAGTGTGTGTACACCCTCAGTGTTTCTTAGTAGATGTCAAGATTAAAAGAACTTTGAAGTCCCAAGCTTAATATCAGCTAAATCAGTCTGAAAAACAACATCAAAATCCTTCCTATGGACACTATTACAATTCTGAACTAGAAGAAAGGGGGGAAAATTAAAGAGAAGAAAAAGCAAGCTGTAGTAAGTACCAAGACAACCAGCAGATTAGATATGAGAACTATGTCAATGTTAAATGTCCCGGGCTGATAATTGGGCTGTGGTTACATAAGACAAAGGCCTTGCTCTTATGAAATATGTGAAGGACTAGGGGAAGGGGCACTCCATTTGTGACTTATTCCCCAATGATTCAGCAAAAATATTATTAATGTGACTCTTCATAGAACAGACAGTAGTGGGTATAGATAAAACACCCTAGCCAGCATCAACACCAAGACCATAAGAGAGAAGGGCATCAGAAACTCACTGAGATGTCACAACTTGCTGAACATTTCCAGTTTTGTTCTAATAGAAACTTCAGTGAAGCTGGGGCCATCGCTCAGTGGTAGAGCTCAGAATTAGCAGCTTTCCATCCCCAGCAGCGCTTGCACACAGGCGCACATGCACGAACACACTCTCGAGAGCACACACACAAGTGGGAGAGATTAGAAGGGAGGCTTGTGATCAAAATCCGGAGCATCCTGTCTGGAGCCAGGCCACCTGTGAAGGTGGGTCTCAGGCTCAGTTCATCCAAGCTCCCACGCCCTATTTGACATCTGCCACATTGCCACATCTACCCCCAGGCACAGCACGGGTACAGGCAGTCCAGTTGACCCTCCATCCAGAGGTGCCAAGGACTAGGTGACAAGGCCACCTCAGGGATCTTGTCTTCTCCTAGAGCCTGGAGGGCACTTTAAACTGGAGACTCCCCACCTCACGGTCCTACAGAGGGTAGTGTTGGTGAGCCTGTACGGGAGCTGAAGAACTAATTACAAGCTGAAAAACTACTTACGCTTGAGAGGCTCCTCTGAAGAGGGTGTGCGGCTGGCTCTGCACCTGTTGCAAAGAGGAAGCAAAAAGGTGTGGTCAGAGCCTGCATGCCCAGAGTGACCAGGTCTGACCGTGGGTGACTCGCAACACACACATGCTAGAGAGGGGCCCCTTTAGACCGGTGGGACCAGGGACCTGACAGGGGAGATGCTGAGTCCCAAGCATGCATATACACACACAGACCTGCACACTCACACGTGTGCTAATGCAGGCCCATGTGGTCAGTCAGACACAAACATGTTCTCTCTCTTCCTCCCTCCCTTCCTCTCCCTCCCTCCCTCCCTCCCTCCCTCCCTCCCCCTCTCTCTCTCCTCCCTCCTTTCTTCCTCTCACTCAGTCTGAATCCTTCCTCTGGCTTCAGTGCTCTTGAACCCAGACAGCCCAAGTCCCAATGAATCACCCAACTGCCTTTGCACACTGTGAGGAGATGCTGGAAGCCCTGTGGGTTTGATGTACAAGGTCCCTTTTGGGTCAGGGAGATGGCTCAGCAGGTGAAGGTGCTTGCTGCCATGCCAGATAACCTGAGTTTGATTTCCCGGACCCACATGGTGGAAGAAGAGAACTTACTCCTGCAAGCTCTCCCTTGAGCTCTGCATCTACACTGCGCCATGCTCAGACACATATACACATATCATGCTCATGTAATACAAACAGCAATTTTTTAGAGAGGTTCTTTTTGCTGGTATACATTGGTAAGCCACTCACTAGACCAGATCAAAAAACCCACACTACTACCTGCTCTGTAACCTGCCCAGCCAGGTCTGTCACTGACAATCCCTATGGACAAGGCTAGACAAGAGGGGAGGAGAGAATTCTTTTTATTATTATTATCATTATTATTATTATTACATCTCTGTGTGTTGGGGGAGTGTCATGTGGAGGTCCAAGGACAACTTGCAGGAAGGCTCTTCCTACCATGTGGATCCTGGGGGTTGAATTCAGGTCAACAGGCTTAGCAAGTGCCTTCAGTAGCCCAGCCCCAGGAGTCTCAGAAGGCAGAGCCCACCGATTACCGCACTGAGAACCTTCATGCCCAGAAAACCTGCTGAACTCCACTGCGCAGCAGCAGCTCTCCCCTGGGGATAGCCCAGAGGCCATCTCATGGATTCTGATTTATTTGTTCATGCTACAGTGTTGGGGTGAACCCCAGAGCCCTGTGCATGATCAGTGGGAGCCCCACAACGGGGATGCAATCCAGATGCAAGAAAGAAGGAAGGAAAGAAGGGAGGGAGGGAGGGAGAGAGAGGCAGAAAGACAGACAGAAAGAAAGAAGGAAAGAAGGGAGGGAGGGAGGGAGGGAGGGAGAGAGAGAGAGAGAGAGAGAGAGAGAGAGAGAGAGAGAGAGAGAGAGAGAGAGAGAGAGAGAGAGAAAGAAAGAAAGAAAGAAAGAAGGCAGGAAAGAAAGAAAGAAAGAAGGCAGGAAAGAAGGAAGAAGGAAAGAAGGAAGAAGGAAAGAAGGAAAGGGAGTCTTTAGGACTAGATTTGGGAAACAGACAAGCGGGGGCAGAGCTCTGGGCCTGGAGTCCCGGGCCACCCACAGTGCTGCTGGCCCAGACACAGAAGGTCTTTCAGCTTTCCTGGAATATAAAAACGTGTAGAATCAGGAAAGGCATTCTTATTGTTGGAGATCTAAGATTTCAAGGACACTTAAGCCAGGATTAATGGTGATGCACAGGGGTGCGGGAGGAAGGTGGGCAAGGGCACCTGTCCCCCTGAAGCCCCCTTCTCCTTCTCCCTGGCAGCTCTACCTTCCAGCTTCTTCCACAGCCTGAGCAAAGTTATAACTGTCCTGTCGGTGTGTACCAGCCTTCCTCCTCGGATCTGTCACTGCTGCATCAATCAGGGCACACTCAATGAGTCCAACAAAGCACATAGTAGGAATAGTCAGCCATTTCTTAAGTACCTCTTATGTGCAAGGCACTGTACAGGGAAAGGTCACAGCGGGGCCCGAGAAGCTGAGGTCCCTGCTCTCAAGGAGTCCAGAATCCTGGGCTGAGACCGAGACATGAGTAGGAAGCCACCGGGGCTTCTGCCACTTCCCGGCTGGACACAGCCCTACAGAAGCAGTAGACTGGTAATACCTGCAATGGTCAAGGCACAGAAGTGGAAAATGGCAACATGTACGCGACTCCCCTGGGCTGTGCCAAAGGAAGAAAGAAAGAAGACTGAGTCAGCATGTTTAAAGCACAATTCTCAACACAGAGCTCAAGGAACCAGGGATGTCACTCTGTGGAACCATGAAGAATGTCACTCTGTCTGGGGTGAATCCTAACCAGAAAGAGGCCAGCTCACCTCAGAAAGGTAAGAGTGGCTTTCTGTGTCACTGGGTCTATCTGGCTTGCTGGCACTTACACCCTACAAGGGAAAAGCCTGAACTGGTTTGATCTGGAGATGCACATGTATTGATCTCATTCTATGGGGTATCTAGGAACTGACCTCACCTCCTACTTCCTGGGGAGCATGTGAACAAGACCTGGCCAATCAGAGGGGTCAGTCATGGTTGGCTCACTCATGGACTTGGCTATGCCTGGACACTTAGAATGACAGTCAGAACTCTTGTTTAAAAAAAGAAAAAAAACCCTGGGGCTTGAGGAGCTGGCGAGACAGCTCTATGGGTTAAAGACATTTGCCATATAAACCTGGAGACCTGAGTTCTACCCCAGAACCCATACAAAGATGGAAGGAAAGAACAGACTCCACAGTTTTCCTCCGACACACAACACATACATGCCATGCTGCGTGCATTGCCGCCAACACACACAGACACACACCATGCACATACACACAATCCTAAAATTAATTTTTTAAAAAGAAGGATCCTTGTAAGTTCTGATGGCTTGTGGGGGTGGGTTTCACTGGGGCAGCTAAGGTACCCCCAGGGAGAAAGGAATAAGTCACTGAGGAACCCAAGACCCAGAAATGCAACAGACTAATGTCAGCTCAGCACCTGGATATAGCCACCCCAAAAGCACACCTAACCTGGCCTCTCTAGTTCTATTTATTCTAAAGTTAATTTAAACTGATTTCTGCCAACTACAACCATAGAATCCAGTCTCATTAGGGAATGGAGGTACATTCATTTAATCCCAGCACTAGAGGGGCTGAAATGGGAAGATCATGACCTGAGTTGCAAAGTAAGCTTGAGGCTAGTTTGAGCTAAATAAAAAAATCTTGTCTCAAAAACTAAATAAATGCAGGGCTGGAGAGATGGCTCAGCAGACAAGAGCTCTTGCTATTCTTGCAGAGGACTAGAGTTCATTTCCCAACACCCACATTAGAGGCTCATAACCAACTGTTACTCTATTTTCAGGGACCTGAAGCCCTCTTCTGGCCTCCTAGGATACTTGTATACACTTGTACATACACACACACACACACCAGTAAAAATTAATTAACAAAATGTCTAAAGATGTGGCTCGGGGTAGAGTGCAGAGTGCTTGCCTAGTATGAGCAAGGTCCTGTGTCCATCCTCACCAATATATATGTATATTATATAGCTCATGGTGTGTGGGGGGAGGAAGGGAGAGAGAGAGAGAGAGAGAGAGAGAGAGAGAGAGAGAGAGAGAGAGAGAGAGAGAGAGAGAGAGAGAGAGATGTCCTGGCTTGAACTGCTGTGTCATTTTATACTCCGCCCATTAGTACCAAGGTGGAGGATGCAGGTGACATCTGAGGTCCCCTACAGTCTGACATTCTATCATCATGTGTCTGTTGCAAAGCTTAGGCCTCACCCTCACCCTCAGCTCTCACCTCAGGGCACACAGAAAGACATGTTTAAATCATTCCTCACAGACAGGCCTGTGAAACATATGGAGGACTCTTCACAACAGATTGTGAACCCTGCTTCCAGCTCTAAATGCCAGATGTGGATGAAGCCACCTACTCTCTCCACTTTTCTGTGATAACTGACACTTCTGGTCCAGGGACCACCATGCTCTAAGAACGCAAACCCAACCTGTCCCTCTCCTCCAGTTGCTGATGCCAGGTAACCCATGTAAACACATGGCTCAGGAGACCAGACCACAGGGCCCCTCTCCATTCTCAAAGCAGAGCCCAATTTGAGACAATTCCAAGTGGTCGCAACTTTCCACAAGCAGAGCACCAGTCCCGGGTCAAGGGGGCAGCCTCTGGCATAGCCCCTGCTTCTGCTGGCCCCCATGCTGGAATGTATCTAGATAACAGGAGGTCATTTGAGGGGTGTCCCAGAGGGCCCTGTGTTGTCTTCCAGGAGCCAAGAGTCTCTCTCTAAGAGTCCCCTAACACCACCACCACCCCAGCAGGCAACACGCCAGATCTCAAGCTGTGGGCCTTGTCCTGACACACTGCCTAGAGCCACCAGGCCTGTCTGCAAGGCCTGGCTGGCCCTAGGCTCTCCCCTGACTTAACATCCGACTTGGCTGCCTGCAAAAGTCTCCTGCAGCTTTTTGGATCGCCAACACTGCAGAGTAAGTAGCAAACGGCTTCCCCATAGCATCCTTTCCAAGGTGGCACGGACCCAAGGCTGGCTCAGCCCGCTCCCAGCCCTATGACCTTGAGTCAGTCACCTGCATTCAGGGAGGCCTTGGGGTTTTCCTATGCAAAATGTCAAGACTAAGGAAATAGAATTTATCATCTAATTAATTTTCAGTTTGGGGGTAAGAAAGATCTACAGCCTGGGTCTCCCTCTGTGGCTCCAGGGGCTAAGTCACCCCAACTCCTGGGCTCTGGCCACACTCCCTCCTCATCCTCCCAAATAACTAGAAAACAGGTGCAGCTATCTCAGCTAGGCTTTTAAAGTCTACTGGATGCGAGGTCCCAACTTGGAGACTCCAGCTTGACCTGGAGTATGGCGAGGGTAAGAGCCTGGTGTGGTGGTGGACACCTGTAATCCCAGCTATGCAGGAGCCTGAAGCAGGAGGGTCGTGAGTCTGTGGCCAGCCTGGGCTGTAAAAAAGTAAGAACTCACATCTAAAAACAAATTCTGAGCAGAGCTGCTCTGCTGTTATGTCCCCACAACAAGCCAAGCCCAGCAGCTCCAGACCCCTCGTCCTCAAGAAGGTGAGCACGGGTGGTAGTTATCCTAACTGCCTGAGACAAGGAGGGTGGCTTCCCTGGTGGCAGGTTTGGGGCTTTCCGAGGATACTGGCAGAAGGCTAAACTCTTTATATTCAAAGGAAGCAAATTAGCCTCTGGCTGGAGCCTGTGGGCCAGAATTGAAAGTAGGAGTCAGCACTAAGAAGGCGTGACTCTCTCCTAGTAAGGAGACCATGTTGGCTTCCCCCCAGTTTTTCAGCCAACAAAATACTGCCAAGAGGGGTGCTAAATCCCCAGCCAGTGGGGCTTGGGGACATGAAGAAACATAAAGGGTCATCACAGACCCCCACTCCCCAAAACAGTCCACTGTGCCATACCTTCCTTACTGTGTCTTAATCAGTTAAAGGAAAAAAAAGTCCCACAAAGAAACAATACCAGTGTTTCATAATGCTTCCAAGGGCTGGAGCAGAGGCCCTTACCTCCTTACCTACCATTCTGGGTTCCATCCTCAGAACCAACCAACAAAAAAAAAAAAAAAAAAAGCACAAAACACCTGGTATGGCTGAAAACTGACCTAGGGCAATATTTGGAAGGGCTGACACATTTTTTCAGTCTCACAACAGGATAACTTTAAGAAAAGCCCACCTTCTACCTGTGAGAAATTTTAATTTTCTCTCCCTCCTCTCTCTCTCTCTCTCTCTCTCTCTCTCTCTCTCTCTCTCTCTCTCTCTCTCTCTCTCTCTCTCTCTCTCTCTCGGTTTGTTCTAATCTACATTCTCCCACTAATAGTTTAAGCAAACCCACATTGTTCCCAAGGAAATAATCCCTACTAAACGCCAGTTGCCACAACTCTGCTCAGGACCACTCTGGAACTCTAGTCTCCAAATCAGGATGAACCCTTTCGGAGCAAGGTGACGCCATCTGGAAAATCAGCAAGAGGACAAGTGCGTGGCACCCCAGGCCATGACAGCACAGACACTGGACCTTTCCTCGTTATCCACCAAGTGGTCTCCACAAACCCAAGGACATGAGGGGGATTAGGACTCACCTAGATCACACAGCAAACCAGAGGCTAAAGACACCAGCCCTGGCTCACCCTGCCTGACTTTGACTGTAGAAGTTCACCTGAGTCACTTGTTTGTTGGGACATCTATCACTGTTTCCAAACACACAGCCCCAGGAGGGCATACTTCAGACTGCCCTATTCACTGGCCACGTCTGCACAACTTAGGATGAATAAATACCTGCTAGGTGGGTGGATGGGTGGCTCCCAGCCTGGACAAGATGTTCAAAGTATAGGCTCTCATTTCAGGATGGGGGTCCACTTCTGTGAGCTATGCCCCTCTGCTAGATGCTGGAATCTCTCCCCCTCCTCTTGGTGTGTTCCCCAGTCAAGCGGATATAAGGCAAACTCACAGAGGTCCAAGCTCAGGACTCAGGCCTAGAGTCCAACAGAACTCTAGGGGCTGAGGTGGGCAAGTTTAAATCCACTTTGACTGTCCTGATCTTGGGCTACCTTTATGTTAACCACCACCCAGGGTCAAGGGTCAGAAAGCTTCATAGACCAGGAAGCTTCAAGATGTCCCTTACCAGAAGAAAAAGATGGGGAATAAAGGACCAGGCTCAGCTGAGAACCTCAGACTACAAAGACAGGTGAGCCAGATCCAGGAAAGATTCTAACATCAAATTCTTCTTTAAAGTCAGTCTGATTTCATAGAGCATGGGGAAGCCTCTGGAAGACTCTTGAGCAGGAGACTAGCCCAGCATTACCACCTAGATGGTACAGAGAGGTACCTAGGAGGCATGGTGGCTGGTCAGGAGGCTGTGGACGCCAGGTGCCATCTGGTGATGGATTGAAGGTCCTTGAAATCATGACTAGTCTTCCATTGAGGCTGTTTAGCCCTGGAGCAGGGGCAGAGTCCCCAGAACAGCCCTGTTCCAGTGCCCTTCACCCACTAGGCAGGACTGCACAGACCCACACGCCAGCCACACTTCTCCACCCCCTGCCAAGCATCTAGCAACCTCAGCTTACGGCCTTTCTGCAGGAGGGGTTGGTGGAGCATGGTAACCAGTCAGATTCTACATCTACCCTGTTACAAACACCATGGAAACAGGACACTCAGAATGTCCCAGCTAGACCTAGAGTTCCACTTAATGGTGATACTGAGGCTCAGGGGGGGATGGGGAGGGGACAAGGTGAATAGATTGACCAGCCCAGGACAAGTGTAGGTTCAGTTAACAGATGTCTCCTATCTACTGGATGCCCAACAAGTGTGGGCAGAATGTCCTTCCCACCCTTCCCCCATACATCTCTCAGGCCTGGGCTGTCCAGAGCAGCTCGTCAGTGCCAGGCTCCAGGCTCTTCTCCAAGCTTTCCGAGAGCTGGGTCCTGGATTACGGGTATGTCTTAAGCAGCCTGCCCTTGGGGTACTTCCTTCACACCCTGTTCCCAATAATTGAGACTATGAACACCACCATGGAAACACCGAGGTAAGGGGCTGGGGTTATGACTCAGTGGTACAGTACCTGTCTAACTGTGGAAAACCCTCCCTGGGTTCCAACCCAAAAAAAGTCAGTTGCACCAGATCTTGCCAGTGTCCCTAATCTACCTCCCAGAAGGGGAGTTTTATATAATCAGAATGGTGGGCGCAGCAGGGGCCGGGGAAACTGAACACTAGGTGGTTTGAAAGGTGGATCTCTCCCACTGATACCCTTCACCCACACCTCACCAGAACTCCTAGTCTCCGAGGTGAGTGGGTGGGGCAGGTTAGCTGGATGATCCCAAAGTCCACAGCACCTGAACTCCACAGTCAATGGACCACTCTTCCGCACACCTGCAACCTATCCCCAAGTGCCTGGCCTCAGCACAAGGACCTGGGATTGTACATTAACCTCCAGATACTCATCTTCCCCCCCTCCCTATGCTGGTCTCACCCTCTGGAGGGACTGAGAGCCGCCCAACACCAGAGACTGGTTTATTCACTGCTGCCATTCCTACCTCTGGGATAGTGCCTGACACAGTGTGGGTGCTCAATACGCATCTGCCGTGCAAGCAGCGGTACACACACCTGCAGTTTCAGCCACCGGGGAAGTTGAGGCAGGAGGGTTGAATGGGTGGGATCCTGTATCAAGAAAGAAATGTGTTCCTCCTGTCAGTAGAGAGGCCTCAGGCTGCTGTTCACCTTCAGGGCAAGTTGGAAGCCACTGGGTGGGGTGACTCCCTCACTGAGCTGCAGTCTGGGTGGTCAGCTAGGACAGGTCAGTGGATCACAAGCCAAGGATGTTCACAGTGGGCTGGTGGGCTTGTACGTTCTGCGACGTGTTCTGCAGTGTGTTCTCTAATGTGTTCTGCAGGGCATTCTACTGGGTGCCAGGTCATAATGGGCCATTGTTTGTATAGACCAAGTGGCAGAACCTGAAACAGTATGATGCTGTTTTTGTTAAAACAAAACCAAACCACAGCTGGCTAGCACTGGCTGCCTGGCTGCCTGGCTGCCTGGCCCCCTGAGCAAATCTTTACACCCACAAGGAAATGAAAACGGACCCTGAAAGTGATAAAAAGCAGTCTGAGTTCCTACAGACACTTCAGGTACTACACAGCTAAAACTGCATGTAAGGGCAATAGACAGCCTTAAGGTCCTTGTTTACTCATTTTGCAGTGTTGGGGATGGAACTGGGGCCCCAGAGCACACACCCCCCACTTATACCTTATGTATGTATATTTTGTAATGATCTAAAACGAATATATTTTAGCTTATAATGGTCCTGTATTGTTTGGGGTATATGACTTATAACTTAAAACTGGATCACTTGGCAGTTTCTCATTTCTTTTTTTTTTTTTTTCCTGAGACAGGGTTTCTCTATGTAGCTTTGTAGACCAGGCTGGCCTCGAACTCCCAGAGATCATCCTGCCTCTGCCTCCCGAATACCGGGTCTTAAAGACTTGCAAAACCACCACCTGACTCAGTTTATCATTTCTGTGTATATGAAATGACAGGTCCATAAAAAAGCTTGCACACAATGCCCATTGGAAGAGTCTATCATAACCCATACCTACAGACAAAGTAACTGTAAGACAGATGGACAGGCTGTTATATGGTCATCAAGCCTCTTGCCCTCGGAGCACACTACAGGACCCAAATGCAGAAATCAATGACCTCCAGTTCATACAGCTTCCCCTTACACATAACTAAGATAGAATATAATTTATAAATTAGTCACTCAGAACAATAACTCATAATAAACTATGATTTTAACCCTATACTGTCACAAAATATATTCAACAACTCATGAACTGCTCATATCTAGAATCTTCCAGTTAATATGTCTGGGCTACAGTTAGCCATACATCATATATGCATACATACATGCATGCATACATACATACATACATACATACATACATGTATGCATACAGTGCTGGAATTACCAGGGTGATTCATCATGCCTGGCACAAATCCACTGACATGAGATGGTGACTTGGCAAAAACACATTCACGGTGACAGACATCTAAAAGTGCTATCTTGGGGGGTGGAGAGAGCTGGAGATGTGGCTCACTGCTACAGTGTCTGTCTCGAAAGTGTGAAGTCCTGGTCCATCCTCAAGCACACAGAAAAGCAAGGAGCCAGGAAAGTCAGAGATGCCTTAGCAGGTGTGACAGCTGGCTGTACAAGCGTGAAAACCTGAGTTCAGGTCCCGAGCACCCACTCAAAAAGGCAGATGTGGCCATGCACTCATGTAAACCCACTGTTGGAGGGGGAACAAAGGTGGGAGGTTGAGGTGTCGGCCACCGTCCTAGCTCCAAGCTCAGTAAGAGAGCCTGCCTCAAAAAATAACACGGAAAAGTGATGGGGTAAGGAACCTGATGCTGAACTCTGGCCTCTACACACATGTGTACACATGAACACACACACACACACACACACACACACACACACACACGGTAGAGAGTGACTGAGAAGACATGTCCACACATGCACATTTACACTCACACTCCCCACATGCACCAACACACCAACACACTTAAGTTCATTCACAAGCATGTGCATACGTAAGAGATATTTATCTTGATCTGGGGGTTAGTTACACTGATATCTAAAAATCCATTAAAGAACAAAGCATCTCTGCATTTTGGTACACTATACTTCAATTTTAATTTAATTGGAAGGAGGGGTTACCAGAGATCAAACTCAGAACCTGAGGTTAACCGCATACTGTACTGCTGACCTATAGTCCTAGACACTTAAAAATGTCTTTTTCCTTTAAAAATGTTATTTATTATTATTGTGTGTATCTTATGTGGCATGCCAGGGTCTCAGTATGGAGGTTAAAGGACATCTTCGTGGAGCCCTCTCCTTCCACCATAGTACCTGTTGATTTCACACATTTTCAGGTTTGCCTGGCAAATGACTTTACCTGTTAAACTGTATCTCGGGCCCTAGATGCTTTTTGTTGTTGTTGGGGGAGGGGGTTCCAGACAGGGTTTCTTGTGTAGTCTTGGCTATCCATCGCTCTTTAAAACACCAGCCTGACCCCAACTCAAAAGATTTACCTGCCTCGCCGGGCGTTGGTGGCGCACGCCTTTAATCCCAGCACTCGGGAGGCAGAGGCAGGTGGATCTTTGTGAGTTCGAGACCAGCCTGGTCTACAGAGCGAGTTCCAGGACAGCCTCCAAAGCCACAGAGAAACCCTGTCTCGAAAAACCAAAAAAAAAAAAAACAAACAAACAAAAAAAAAGATTTACCTGCCTCTGAGTGCTGGGATCAATGATGTGTGCTACCACTACCTATTCCAAATGCTTTTTAAAAGATCCCAGGGAAAGTTAGGCACAGTAGCTCACACCGAGGAAGGTGGATTGTGGCAAATTCCAGGCCAGAATGGGCAACACAGTAAATTCCAGGCCTCTAAAAAAAATCCTATCTTCCTGACTCTCTGACCCCATCCCCCTAAGTGGAGCCTCAGCTCAGGTTTCCAAAAGAAACCTCTAACCCATAGAGGTGGGAAGGGAACAACAGCCACACACACACACACACAACACACACACACACACACACACACAACAACAACAACAGCAACAACAGCACCACACACACACAACAACAGCACCAGCACCACACACACACACACACACACACATAACAACAGCACCACACACACACAATAACAACAGCACCACACACACACACAACAGCACCAGCACCACACACACACACAACAACAACAGCACCACACACACACAATAACAACAGCACACACACACACAATAACAACAGCACCACACACACACACACACACAACAACAGCACCACACACACACACAATAACAACAGCACCATACACACACACACAACAACAGCACCACACACACACACCACAACAACAGCACCACACACACAACAACAACACACACACACACACAACAACAACACCACACACACACACAACAACAGCACCACACACACACAACAACAGCACCACACACACACACAACAACAACACCACACACACACACACAATAACAGCACCACACACACACACACACAATAACAACAGCACCACACACACACACACAACAACAGCACACACACACACACACACACACACAATAACAACAGCACCATACACACACACACAACAACAGCACCACACACACACACACACAACAGCACCAGCACCACACACACACACACACAATAACAACAACAGCACCACACACACACAATAACAACAGCACCACACACACACACACAACAACAGCACCACACACACACACAATAACAACAGCACCACACACACACACACAACAACAGCACCACACACACACACACAATAACAACAGCACCACACACACACACACACACACACACACACACACACACACACACGGCCCTGCCCATAACTTTCCCTAAAGATGCCAGATCTGCATGCTCCAGAGGCAGGAACCAGCAAATTAATGGTCTGGTACCTGTTAACCAGAGCGTCCGGACTTCACCTGGTGTTTACAGAAAGAGCATGAGATTGGTACAGATTCATTGGTACAGAAAATGCTTTGTACCCTGCCCAATGGTAGACCAGCGAGCAGCCACCCTTGGTCTCTGGAACCCAGCCCAACTCCTTGATCACCATCAGGGTTCTTTCCCAGGCTGCAGGTTAGATTGACTCCTGCTACTGTCCCCAGACCCTACTCTCCCCGCTACACTCCCGATAAAACCTCATAACTATATGCCTCATAGTCCTCCACCACCTGGCTCCGGTCAAATCTATTCATGGTCTCTGGTCCTCTCTGTAACTGGGACCCTGTGGCCATGTTCTACATACATGCGTGGCTATTTCATGTCACAGTACCTTTAAACCCTCTTGTGTCCCTGCCTCCCAGACCAGCTCACCCTGCTTCTCTGTCCATCAGAAGCACCGACTCTGGCATCATCTCCAACTCTACTTCACCAAGCATACACACTCTCAAGTCAACCAGTGGGAACAGTGATCACTGCAGCATCCACTCTAGAAAACCAAGGTTTCTTAACCAACAAAATGAGAAACATAAAGAATGAGCTCCAGGCAGGGCAGTGGTGGTACACACCTTTAATCCCAGCACTTGGGAGGCAGAGGCAGGCGGATCTAAGCAAATTTGAGGCCAGTCTGGTCTACAGAGCAAGTGCCAGGACAGGCTCCAAAAACAAAAAAAGAAAAAATGAGCTCTAGGGCTTGGAAAAATGGCTCAGAGGTTAAGAGCACTGGCTACTCTTCCAGAGGACCTGGGTTCGATTCCCAGGACCCACATGACAGCTCAGGGCTGTCTGTAACTCTAGTTCCGGGGGAACCAACACTTTCACACAGACATACATGCAGGCAAAAATGCCAATGAACATAAAATAAATTTTTAAAAATGAACTCTAGTTCTCACTCAGGACATGGAATTTCTAGGACTGTAGCGGCTCGTAGATTTAAACACCGAGTTTAGTTGGGGTAAGTTGACAAACACTAGGAAGCAGACCACAGCCCCAAAGAGCCTGACTTTTGCCCATGACCACTAGACGTGGAGATCAGTTCACGGCCTGGGGTTCCAGGACAGCCCTCTATTCCCACCGAGATCCCCTAGTGGCTGTGGCTGGGCAGCATTCCAGGGAGGCCTTGTGATTGACAGCTCTTTCCTGTGTCCAGGAATGTGCTCAGTGACTCATGGCACCTTATCGCTGAGACCTTTGGAAACTTTCAGAAAACTAAACCTTTGACAAGTTGAGGTTAGAAACAGGGTCCCCAGAGTCCAGGCTGCCTCTGGGTGGGTTGGGGGGGCAACACCTGTTGCAGAAATAGCAGTAGAGCCCCA